GGGTGGGACATCTCTAAGCTGTTGACCAATCACAACAGAGCCGGCCAGCTAACCAATCAGAGCAGACTGGGCTCTGGTTTCAGACAGAGGGTGAAAAGAGGAGCAGAACAGGCAGTATGAGAAAAATAAAGAGCTTTTTGAACATTAAAGCATGGAAACATGTCACAGTAGAGACACACAATACAAATATGAACCTGAACATTAGCATAATAGGGCCCCTTTAAAACATTGTAATGACTCGTGAAGAATATTCATTATTTTTTCAAGCTCAAAATGCCATATTCTACTTTTCCACATTTTATGTGATAGTAAATTCATGTGGGCAAGTTTAAGATGTAATGGATTTATTTGCCCAAACTCTTTTAGACACCACAAACTAAACAATTAGTATTATGACTAAACAATGACAGTAGTTGTTAATATAACTAAAGAGTCACCCAAAGGTGAAATTGGGTTTCGATTTGCATATTTCTTGGTGAAAAGTAATACGTTTTACTCACACATTCACCATCCTGTATAACCGTCAGATCTCCTTGCTTTCTGCTGGTGGTTTGTATTTAACAACCTGAATCCTCGCCTCTCTTTCTGAACGCTTTATGACTCAAGTCATGTCAACAGCAAGTCAAATACTCTGTATAAGTGCTAGCACATTTATGAAAGAAAAGCCAATCGAGGATAAGCTTTCTAAATGCTCACAATAGGCCTGTGATGGATTTATTCTTTTTGTCCTTGTCTGGGAGACAGCTGCAACAAAAAGCAGCGTGCTGTGAGGGATTTGCTTATGACAATGAGGGACGTTTCAGGAGGAAGTGCAGATGTTTGTGTGAGGCCGGCCTTGTGACTCTCAGTTCAGGTGCAGAAAAGTAAATGGAAGAGATTTCTGGTCTTTGTTCAACATTTTTCATTTTATTTTCAGTTTACTAGTGGATGCCTTTTGATGAGAAAAATCATTTAATCATAGTCTAGCACTGGGTTAGTAAATTAGATATAAAATAATACTTGAATGCCCGGTTTAATTGATTTTCTTTTGTTTACTCCATATTTTAAGCATCTATCTGATGTTCCTGAGTACAGCAGCAGAATCAATTTGGTTTTGTTCGTCAGCATTAGTCATGATTGCCTCGAGAATTTTTATAATTATGATTCTAATTGTCTCCCAGATGACACCTCAGCGATCCGCCTACCTAATGTTTTTACTTCTGCCCAAATGGGGGTTTTAATTACTCACTAGACTGGCAAATGTCTTCCGCACATGATGTGGGTTTATCTGCTTCATCTCATGGTCTGACTCATGACTGGGCCCTTCTCTGAGTGCTGCTGGTCTGGGTCCCATTAAAGGTCACTAGTTGTGCTCTAGGATTTGTCTTTTCAGGCTTGTATTTAGATCTGATAATGCTGATGAGGTTTTTTTATTTTATATCTTTAAAACTTTTTATGAGGGTGGCAGTTTGGCTTCATTTCTTAATCAATAAAATCAACTTATCATTTGGTCTATAAAATGTCAGAAAGCATCACAACTTCCCAGAAGGCAAGAAGATGTCTAAAAATAGCTTTATGTTGTTGTTGTTGTGTCCAACCAACACACAAACCCCCCTAAGACATTCAGATTTCAATTACAGAAGAGTAAGAAAACCAACAAATCTTCACATTTAAGAGACTGAGAAAATATTTCTTACTCTATAAAATTACTTTAATAAATGTGTTGTAAAGAAAAAAAGAAATTTAGAAAAAACTGCTAGGTCTTACAAAAACATCACATGTTTTTCAGAGGGAGGGGTCTTTGGCTGCTAGTTAAAATTTGAAAGTACATTTTAATGACCCAGGACAATTAGGTTATGTATAGTGTTCCGTATTCTTAACTTTTCTCCGCTTTTTACCAAAACTCACTTAAACTTCTGCAGTTACATGGGCAAACAATGAACCTTGTCGTACTGAACAACTAATACAAAGCCTCTTTATGTTTTTTCTGGTCCTGTTTCTGTATTATATTAACTAGAAATTCTGTAAAGACTGCTGGAGCAGCAGCCTCCAGTGTATCACTCTCCTGGTGTCTCACTGACGCTCTGGCGCCCCCTGATGTCACTTTCGGTCCTTTCCCGCTCCTGCTCTGGAAATTCTCGCGAGACTTGTCATGGACTCGTCAGGTCGCATGTGAAACCATAATGGCTTCATAATTGACTGTTGCCTTAAGTTTGTTTACATAAAACGTAAACACACATTTCTGTCTAGACTAATTCATCCCGCCTGGAAACTTGTAATGAGGGAAAAGTCTACATGGCGGCAGGTAATGGAAATATAACAGTGTCTTAATAGTGTGCACTTTAGCTGTTTAATTAGCAAAAACACCAGAGTTTGGCTTGTCAACCGAGCATAAAATATATATTTCAGGAAAAAACAACACTGAAATTATACATTTATTTACCAACTTTATAATATACTGCACAGAAAGAGTCCATTGGAGGACAGGAATTGGACTGATGCATAAAACAACTCTCATGTAGGCTAAACAAGAAGCTACATGTAGCTAAACAGCTAGCTTTGGTCTGATTTATGCTAAGAACTATAAAGCTAATTAATTCACTTTTTACACAATTTCTGTTTAATTTCCACATGAACTAAACATTGATATTTGCTAAATGTTTGTATTTAAATACACTTTTTAGGTACTTTTAATGTTCTTCTTATGCTCAACTACAGTTCAGAGGAAAATATAGTACTTTTTTTACTACATTACATCTATCTGAAAGCTTTTGTTCCTTTACATATCAAGATTCTTCCACCCAGTACATAAGAATATTTACATATTTACAGCTAGAACCAAAACATAAAATAAACTTTGATTGAGAACAATTACTTTCTAAACTGATTGACAGAAAAATAAACTGCCTGCTATTTTGAAAATAATTTTCAGTTGCAGTTCAATACAAAATAGTTAAAAGATTAGCTCCAACTCTAAACAAATATAACATTCTGCTACCACCATAATGCATGATTAATAATAAATTAATGATTTAAAAAAAATCATAATTCTATTGATACTTTAAATACATTTTCCTTATGAAAAACGTAATGTATTTGGTTATATTTCCCCTCTTGCTGAATAGTATTCATGTAGCAGCTATGTGACGGACAGCAGCATCACCTCTAAGGAATACCTAAATAAGTAAGTCCTCTTCTTCTTCTTCTTCTTCTTCTTCTTCTTCTTCTTCTTCTTCTTCTTCTTCTTCTTCTTCTTCTCTCTGAACCTACACATGTCATTTTCTAAACTTTCTTCACTTCACAGCATCTTTGTGTTCTTACTTTTAAAGTCTGGTTAATCATTGCGGCATTTCTTTCATCTCTCCCCCCCCACCTCTGGGTGTCACCCCTCTCCCCCTGCAGTCTGATTTGAAGCATTCATCGGCTGCTGATCTCTACAGGGGAGGGCCCGTATTAATGGGAGACTGATTGACGGGCTGTTTGGCCTCCAGCCAGGAGGGATTGTTGTCTGGCTGTGGGACGAGGTCAAGGGTCACGGTCCGGAGAGGCCGAGACAGAAACCAGATCACAACAGAAGGCTAATTATCATGCATTGTGGCCGGGCTCCTGCTGGGACTCCGCCTTCACTTTCACCAGCAGGTCACACTGAGAACTCTACACCTCCCTGGTGAGATACGTAACTAATGTTACATTACTTATTCTGGGATTTATGTGAGAGTGGTTGCTTTGCTTAAAATTCAGGATTGTCTATTTAACTATTATATAGGCAGGGGTCCACATAACTTTATTGCCCTGGTTCTCAAAGGAGCAACTGGAGATGTTGTTTGGTGCTCATCCTTAAAATGAAATAAACCGTAACTTT